CTCGTGGCCACCCTCCTTCCTTCTCCGTGCTGTAGCGCAGCTCCGCCTTGCCACCCTCCTTGCTTCTCCCTGCTCAGCCTGGCCCTGCTGTAGCGCAGGTCGACCTTGCGCCGTCACTGTGCCTTCCTCGGGTGACGGCGCCAAAAAATTTGCTCGTCCCCACACTGGAAACCAGGAGTGAACCTTACCGCCTCGTGCAGGTATGTTCGCTCGATGTTTCTTTAACGGGAGCAAAAGCTCCCGACAGTCCACTGAGTCCAACCGGCAGCGCCACACCGCGGGAATTTTGAAAAGTGGGTCCCAGTATGCCACTGGCGGCTGGACCACAACCGTGCAACGTTTTTTTCTTTTCTTTTGGGAGGGCCACCTATGGTTCCTGGGCGGGAGAACTTCGTTTGGCCTCCTACATTTTCTACTGGTTTGTCTCTTCCCTACGGTTGGAGGGGGGGAAAAGCGCAGGGGGGGGGAGGGGGGGGGGGGCAGTAAGGGTCATCCTGGGTCAGCGGGTCAGGTGACCCAGGCTAGACATTCACCCACCTGCCACCCACCCATGCAGGTGACCCAGGCCTGACATTGACCCGCCCGCCACCAATCAAGACTAGCCAACRCAGACCCACCCTCRCCCGACCCAGCCCAGGTTATTTACACCCACACCTACAACCCGACCTTGCGGGTGCGGGTGGGTGCAGGTGGGTGCGGGTCTGGGTACCCGTTGCTCATCTCTGCCGCTGACCAACTCAAACTCGGCAGAAGTCTTCTTGTCCTTCGCCTCAAGTCTGTGTATGATCTCATACATGAACTGGTCCTCGCGATAGGCTTCCACCAAAGAATGAGTAACATCGTCTGTAAGATCGAACTCAGTAATCAGCGCACCTGAGAAATCAGGTCTACGCGACAAGGCATCAACAAACTTGTTGTACTCCCCTTTCAGATACTGAGGGTCAAAGTCATATTGCTCAATGACTTCGATCCCACGCTTGAGAGCGTCAGAGAGCACCAGTTGAGTTCTCATCCATCTCATGGTCTGATGATCAGTCCTGAGGATGAAGAACCTCCCAAGGAGATAGTGTCTCCAATGGGTCAGAGCATTGTAAACCGCATAGAGTTCCTTCTCATAGGTGGACTTAGCCAACTTCTGAGACTGGATTTTCTTGGACATGTGCTCTACAGGCCTCAACTTTGGCCCCTCCTGCTGCGCGAGCACGGCGCCAATGCCATATTGGCTGGCATCCGTGGTGACTATAAACGGCTTATCAGGATCAGGAAGTTTCAAGACCTCGTAGTGCGTCAACGCATGCTTCAAACGTCTGAAAGCAGCCTCGCACTCATCTGTCGACTCCCATGGGGTGTCAAGGCGGGTCTGATCAGTCAAACGAGCGACCACTATGCTGTAGTTCTTACGAAAGTCCTATAGTAGCCTGTCATTCCTAAGAAAGATCTCATCTCAGTCACAGACTGAGGACGTGGCCAATCACGAATGCTAACCACCTTCGCGTCATCGGGCTTCAACCCTTCTGCGGATATCTCATGACCCAAATACAAGACACGGGTGCGGCCAAACTCGCACTTCTCACCGTTGATCTTGAACTTGTGTTGTTGCAAGAGACTAGGGACTTTGTCCAAATGTGCAACGTGCTCCTCGACAGTCTTACTAAAAATAAGTATGTCATCGAGATACACCATGACAAACTTATCCAAGTAGTCATGGAATATCCGATTCATAGCGTGCTGAAAGGTGCCAGGAGCATTGCAAAGCCCGAAAGGCATCACCACAAACTCGTACAGACCGTACCTGGTCTGAAAGGCGGTTTTGTGTTGATCCTCGGGCCGGATTGCAATCTGATGGTACCCGGACTTCAGATCTATCTTTCTGAAGTACCGACACCCTTGCACTCTATCTAACAGATCATCGATGTGCGGTAGGGGCTCTCTATTCTTTACAGTCATGGCATTGAGGCCCCTATAGTCAATGCACATCCTAAGTGTACCCTCCTTCTTCTTAGGTACGAATAGTACTGGAGATCCATAAGGAGAGACACTCAGCCAGATCCAACCCTGTCTCCCTACCTACTCCTCTACCTCTAGCGCAGCGCAGAGCTGTCGCGTGTGGTGCTGGTCCAGCAGTGTGCCGCCCAAGAAGTGAGCTACTCCAAATGTGTGTCCAGCCGCTGCCCAACTATAAGTAGCGCTGGGCCTGGCTGGGCGTGTCTCTCATGCTGGCCTCAAACGGCCCACTGGTCTGGGCCCCTACCGGGCGTCCAGACCATGCTGCTGATGCAGCAAGGCACAAAAACGCGCCTGGCCTAAAAACAGCCTCGCTCATGTGTACCCAGCCCAGGGCGCAGCCTTGGGGCCTGCAAATCCGAAACGACGTCTGCACAGACAAAAATAGGACATAAAATAAGTAAGTAAACAGATAAATGTGAGGCACAAGGCCTCGATAAGCCCCACTGGGCCGTATTTGCAACATCGTCGGCCGCCCTAAGTGAAGGCAGGCCCGACAGACCCTTAGAGGCCCGACAGACCCTTAGAGGCGTATTCACAACTGGGGAAATTCAGGCAGTTGCGCTGTGCCAGTTGGTTGGAAGCGCCCAGGCCTTGACTTTCTTTATCAAATGCATCTTAGTCAGGCCCTGGGCGAGCAACATAGGCCCAACTCAGGATGCGGGCAGTTGGGCACAGGCAACTGTCGGCAGCCCCGGGCCAATTCGTTAGGTCTGGGCCTCAGTCTACCGGGGCCTACCGGAAGCTTCTTGGGAAAGGCCCAACGTAGCCTGGGACAGAACGCAGGCAGGCCACTTCCATATAGCAAAGGGCCTGCCTCCGCATTGGACATTCGGGTGTTGGCTGCATGCTGCGCAAGCGCGGCTGCGCTGAAGCTGGCTAGCGCTCACCCGCTCACGGGCAAGCTGGAAGGAGCAGGCAAGCCATAACCGAGTTGCGCTGCTGTGAGCTGGGTGTGGCGCAGGGTGGTCTTTGGGTGCAAGTGGCATCTGTGAGTTGGGGAACGGGGTTGTGAGTGATACGAGAGACATACCTGGTGCTAGAAGCGACATTGTCCGAAATCGGCTCGTACTTCGGTGAAGCTGTTGACGTCATCCGGCGGCATTGGAGTAGGCTAGATAGGATCTGCCATCTGTAGTCTGGGCGCTGAGCGCCAGATAGGATATCAACATTGGTTCTTCATTGATGATGATGATGAGACT